ACATCTTCTGAGAAAACAACTATTCTATATATGTATTAAGTAGTCCTTTATGCTTGTAAAGTAGATTCTTTTTTAATCATTATATAGAGAAGTATGTTGTAGGCAGGATATGAATTCCATTGAGAGGAATGAAAAAATATTAGGTTCCAATGACTCCAACGAATGAAGCTCCTCATAAAGTCGGAGATCATATATATATATAGTCGTCTATCGTTGAAGTTTATTGATGTGTAAGATCCATTTAACAATATTATTTCTTTTTATTATCAAATATAAAAAACAAACAAACAATACAAACGAAACTATTCTACTAATGAATATATAATATTACAAATATATCTTATGAATATTCCTTTTATAGAATTTATAGTTTTTCCTAGGTAAAAACAAAAAAGATTTTTCTAATCTATTGATATTACTTCTTCTTTTTTTTTCATTAGAAGAAAACTAATAACTAAGCTTTATTGATAAATCTTGAAAAAAAAAGAAACTTCTCAAAATAACCTCAATTGACATATTCTTTTCTGTTGACAACAAAAGTCTTTTTTCCGAAATAGAATAAAATACATAATTGATTGATTACTTCTAACAAAAGAATGAATATAACAAACGTATATAACTAATATTCTATATTAATAAATATACTATTGACATCAAGATAACATCCTGTATAAATAAAAAGAATATTTAAAAACAATTTTTCATCTTTTTCTTCTAGTTTTGATTTAAGTGATGTTGCTTTTTGTTTATTATCACGTTTTAATCAAACATTTTTTCATGTATCACGTCATCATTCATGTTCATGTAATGTTCATTATTTATCTTATAATCCTAATATGTATCATGATACAACATATTCAACAATAAGATATCATACAAATTATTTACGTTTAACACCAATTTGTATTCNGTATTTCTGTCATATTATCATTTGTTAAATCTTGTGGTTGTTCTTGTTCTTGTTGCTGTTGCTGTCGCTGTTGTTGTTGATTTTCATCATCAATATAATTTTGAACAATATCAACATGAAAATGAACAAATACAATATTTAAATAATACAAATTTTATTCTTCATAGTGGAGGAGATAAGTGTAATTATAAATTAATGTTTCTTGATTGTGATGCTATGACAACAACATCAACGACAACGACGACAACAACAACAGTTACTACATCTATAGAAATGACAAATAAGTTAGAAATTACATTTACTGCAGAAAATCTTCTTTATACAACAACAGAAATTCCAATATCAACATCAACACCATGGTTTGTTTTATTTATTATTAACATCGAAGAAATAAATTATCAATTGCTTGTTTTGTCATACATTTTTTTAGGTATTTTAAATATACTAAACCACCTAGATCAGTAAATAATGCAAAAAAATTATTTACTGTACTTGGTACATTAATAACCATAACAGTTGGCGCAATTATTCTTGTTATTTGTTGGTATCGTCTTAAAACAATATATAAACGAAAACAAAAGAGAAAAAACCATGTTGAGCAACAAAGAAATTTGAATTTACCATCAAAGAATAATAATAATAATAATAATAATTCTCAATTAACAGCACCACGTTATGCTTCATCCGACATGTTAAGTAGTGTATATAGTACACAGTTAGCCGGCAATACAAGTCAATCACAATCATTGATTGCACCGGCATCACCACCATCAATCGTTTATAAAAATATCGATGCTATAACTGATGAGTCTATTCAAAATTATATTGATGATGAAAATCAACAACAACAGCGACAGCAACAGCAACAAGAACAAGAACAACCACAAGATTTAACAAATGATAATATGACAGAAATACAAGCAACTACTCAATGTTAAATATTTTCAAATGAATCTATTGTATTCGTTTTTCTTTTCTTTTCTTTTGTGTGTGCTTTTCTTTGAAAATTTAATAAAATTATTAATATAAAGTATTTGAAATTTTACTTGTGAATGTTAGATATGGTAAAATGCAGAGAACGGAAAATTCCAGTAGATTTTTTTGTATTCTTTCATTCATATTTTATTTGATAGAGCTCGAAGTGTTAGTCACGAATATATAGTTTTTATTTCAATTTGACCACTATTTCGTTGAAAAAAAAAGCGTTAAAAACTCGAATGACTGACTATGTAGCGTCAACAATTATGAACTTTCTTTTTCTCATAGAAATTGTTAAGTTTCGATTATATTCTTTTGTTAAACTTTAGAAAAACACTTTATTTTAATTCAACATAAAAAACTGAGCAAGACAATGTTATTTGTTTAAGATTATAGAATTCATAATATTAAAAAAAAAAGAACCTGTCCAATAGAAATAACTTTGACGTACGCCATGACACACAATTGTGAATATGCTTGTAAATCTATCTAGCTTCTTGTAGCAAGAGATTGAAGCAGGTGTCTTATCTCATTACAATTGCTAAATCATGAACTACAAAAGTACTTAATTACTTTTTTTAGATTCTGTTTTATGATTGAGAGAATAGAGTGTACTTTTCATTCTTTTATCTGATATTGCCATCAAATAAAAAAAACAAAACACTCTCTTCTCATATACAAATGAACGAGAAAAAGTCCACTCTAGTTTTTGCATTCCCCGTAATTTAGTAAAAATCAATATGGAGATTGATTGTTTTTTTTAATACATAAATGAATAATACAAAAGATTTGTTTATTCTATTTAATATTCTAATTTATTTGATCTTTATTTTAAATGTTTTCATATAAAAAATTTTTAACTTTAATCAAGCAGTGCTTGTAGATTTTTATAAAACTCTTCGATAGCTTATTTGAAAACTACAACAGATCTTATTGTATGATTTTCTGGAAAAGAAGTATTTCTAAACAATATTCAATTATGAAAAATAATTTATGGAACTACTTAAAAAGAAACGAATATCTATTTCGACTAAAACTCGATTCTTATATTTTGTATGATTTTAAAATATTTCTCTTTTTTTATTTTTTTATTTAAATTAAGCGAATATAAAACGATATTGTCGAACTTTTGAACGCTTATTTTTTTCTATTGACTATGATAATATATGACCTGAGGATCTTAGCACAAAATATTCGCTCATTTTTCGACCATGAAAAGTCAACTGGTTATAGTTAACGGGTGTGGCAGAATAAATGGCGGTCTCAGTATTTTGATTATAACTTTTTTTCTTTTTGATCTTTATAACTGGTTGTTTTGCCA